TGGACTTTGGAGTGGGAATGGAGACCACAGTGGTTCTCCAGCAGCCTGGCAGGGTTAGGCTTTGAAGGGATGCTGCTGGCAGGTAAAACCAATGTCAGCCCAGGGGAGAGGCGGAATCGGGGCCATGCCAGCAGCAAGGGGGCTGGGGCACAGCTGGCTCGGTGCCAGCCAACAGTGTGTGCACTGTGGGAAACACGAGGGTCCTCTCAGACCTTGTAAATGCCCCTTTCTGCACAAATATGTGTCAGTCGTGCAAAGTGTGTTAGAAAACCCTTTCCTTATTTCCTGCTTTTGCTTTGTTCCTGCATGGTAGCCTCTTTTTCCCTCAAAGAATGTTTCATAAAGTTGGTGGGCTGCCTACCTGAGAGCTGACACATGCCCTTATGAACAGTGAGAAAACAGGTTCAAATATCAACTTCCAGACATAGTTTCCAAATAAGCAACCCTGTAGGAGATGGATGGCTTTTCATTAGGTTTGATTGTCCCCAGGTCCTCAAAACACAGTGCCCCCATTAACAAATTAAAGAATCTTTTGTCTCCTCTTGTCAATACGGTTCCCACTGGAAAAAGTATTGTTTCTGTGCTCAGTTAATCAATTATTTTTCTGACAGGGTTGCCAGATCACAGGACAAATAAAGTTTTATGTGCAGCTTGGGCTGTTCTCACTGCCTTTTGAAGTTTTGGGTAAAAAGGGAGAACAGAGTTGTATCATTTTAGCACTTTTTACATCTCTATGAAGAAATTCTTAAGGTATTTGCAAGGTCAAAGTGATAAAGAAACAGTGGGAAACAGTATAGCTGGTTTTGTCCTATGAATGTAATAATGTTCTGTACAGTATTTTTTCACAACAATGCAAACTGTAATTAAGGCTGCAAAATAGTTTTCTTCCATCATCTCTGTGTTTCCATTTACTTTTAATTTGCTGAGTTTATTCTGTCCCTGAGCATGCAGTGCCATCATTGTCATTCAGTCATGGGCTTCCCTCCTGAAAGCAAAACTCAGACTGCATCTTTTCTCAGAAGTCTGGAGCCAGGCTGAACTCTGAAGCCTGTGAGGCCCTGCAGTGAGGATTATATGCTTATCTCAGTTGAGAAGGATTTAGCACCATTGGGAGCATACAGAGATTATCTACTGAGCTCATGCAAAAAACTGTGATAATCTGTGGAAGAGGTGGTTTGCGAGGTTCTTCCTATAAACCCTGGGAACTCAGGGCAAGTGCTGGGTTTGCTGGTGGCCCTGTGAAGGGCATGAAATGTGCCCACCTTTATTTATATGAAAGCCTTTGTCTCTGTTGTTAGCTGGGGTCTTGGATGTGGATTGATGATTGATACCAATTTGGTATTTAGCTACTTAGGGATTACATTCCTAGCCACAGACCTGATAACCAAACTGCTGCTTAGGAAACCCCAGAAAAGAAGTGTGTATAGACCTATTGGAATTGTTTGAGACAGTGGTTGTGCCTTTCCCTCTCACAAGGTTGTTTTCTGTTGTTGAAGTGTATCTATGTCAATGATGAAACTAAAGAAATACAGAGATTTGAAAAAAACCCCATCTGCCTGCATAAGAAACATTTCTGAGCTTCAGTCTATTTGTTTGTTTTCTTCCTTTTTTTCAACTGTATTTTAAAAACCAAAAAGTCTAGGATAGGAAATTATTTTTCCACTGTATTACTTACTGAAGCCAGAGAATTAGAAGTACATGTAAGGTCGTCCATTGAAAGCTCTGAGCTTTGGCTTAGTCCACCAGCTGTGGTAACCTCATTGTTTGCACATTTCATATATTCACTCTGATTATAATTATGGATGTTGTAAATAAATCATGGCAGTGCTAGCTAATAATCTAAGAAAATTATAAAATTTGAAGGCTAACTACACTGAACGATGCTTTTTCTTGTTTAGACAGCATGAACTAAATATTTTCTACCTGGTGGTTTACTTATTTAATTACTTAGTTATTTATTTGTACCTACCAGTTCTTGATAGGAAACTGCAAGGACTGTATAGAAGGATTTTTGGTCTGAGAGGAAAAATATTTTGAGTAATAGGGTTCCAGTCATCTCTTTTTTCTGTTCCCCAGCTTTCTGCTTTGCATCTACAGGAAAGTAGCTGAGACAGGGAGTCTCTAGCATTTCTTGCTGTGGTTGCCACTGGGAAAATAGTCTTCCTTTTCCTGTCATCTTACAGGTATATTCTTACCAGCTATTAACGAATATGCCCAAAAGACAAATATAGCTGTAATTAGCAACCCCCGCTAGTCATGACGAGACTTGCTGTGTGTTGCACACCTGATCCACAAAGACACCATCTATGTTTTACACCTCCTCTCTGGAGACACCCACACGTCCCAAACAAAAACACAAATCAGGATCTCTGCAGGGCTTGGCAGACAGGCAGCCGGAGATCCCGAATTCCTTAGGAGCGAGACCAGAGTCCCAGCAAAAACTACACCTCCAGCTCCTTCCTGCTCACTGCTTCATTCCAGCCCACAGGAGAAAGCCATTTGCTTCATCTGAAGGAGAATAATTAAATAACAACTAATTTCTTTTAATGGGTAGGGGCCATAATGTCTGGTCAGTCTTTTTCCTGCTTCTTGGCAGAAGCTGGCTGGTTGAATGTGTCTTCATAGGTGTCACTAGAAAGAGAAGCAGTCTTGGCACTAGAAGACCCTTTGTTGTGTGAGTGGGATTAATGAGATGCAGATAGCATGGTGGAGATGTAACTTACCATGCCTGAAAACTGACAGCAAGCCCAAGAGCAGCCTGGCATATCTTGGTAGATACCTTCAGGTATCTCCCCAGCCAAGTAACTACATGTGGCCCTACTCCAGAAACCTCCTTCATCCCTCCCCCCACTCCCATGTTCACTCTAGTGTTATAAGTGTTTTGAGTTTTGATACCAAAGGAGGAAAACCCCAACCAAACAAACAAATAAAACCAACAGAAATAACACAGCCAATTTACGGCAGTGTACTTGAATGGGAGGATGAATACCAAAATTTAACTTTTTTGATATTGCAATTTGTGGGAAAAACTTCCCCTGGAGTTCTAATCTAGCACTTTGAAATAGCTTTTTCCAGTTAAAAGAAGTATTTCCCATATGCTTGACATATTGCTGCATAAAATGAAGGAATGCAGGAGGGGAAAAAAGTATGTTTACATACAAAACATACCCCACATGCATATTTATATTAAGAGAGAGAAAAATATTTTATTTATGTATGCATAATTTGACACTTTCAACATTTTATGTAAATAAATGCCAAATGAAGAAGACTGTATGGAACATTAGAGGGCTATACTTCTTTGTTTCCATTTTTCAAATCTGGCTATGATTGCATACAAGCACCTCAAACAAAGAACATCTGGGTGGTTGAAGCATGGTTTTGCTGTAAGATAGTCTCTTACTGTAAAGTTACAGATTCAACACTTACTGCTGAAATTTTTGGTTCTGAGCAGCCTCAGACCAGGTTTGTAATAAATGTGGTAATTAAGCAGTATCAGTGGGGCCTTAATAATATTAATATCTAAGGTCTAACAAAGTCTTTTATAATTAGCGTACAGTTTAACATACATGTGTATTAAGACTATGTCCTTGGAACTTTTCCAGGCAACTGCACTGCCACAGACAAAGCCTTCATCCAAGTTCACGTCTGACACTTTATACAATGCAATTACTATTTTCCATCTCTTACCTCCAGATTTAGGACAATTTATCTCTGATTCTCTTTTGTTTCTAGGTTTCAAAGTGCAATTTCCTGCACAAACGAATATACTTATGATTCAGGTTGTCCACCCACCCACCCAGCTACCTGTCTCAGCTAGCCCAATTGCTGGAAGGAACATATAAAGCAAGTTCATAGCTTGATGCTGGAGTGATATAATCTTTGCTTAATCTACTTAGTGTTTAAAAATGTAAATGTTAGCAGCTATCTCAAATGAGAGCACTGCTCTCATGTAAGTTGTATGCTTGAATGTGGCACAAAGCAGTAATTGTACTCTTCTGGGAGACTAAAAATCTCCTAGCGTCTGAGACAAGGAAAATTGAAAGAGTCGTTTACATCTGGTAGGAGCAAAATGTCGCAACTGTATTTCAAACACTTACAAAATTTGGAGCTCTAAAACCCCCAGGGCATATTGTGTGCTGTAACAATATAATTAAATATATTAAATGTCATGCTAAAAAAAAATCAATTTGAACCTCATTTTCCTGTCTCTTTTTTCACCTTAGAAAGAAATGTGGAACATTAGCTCTTATTCAAAATTAATCATTTTAAGAAACTAAAAAATTTAGTATAAGTGTTTGTAACATTGATTTCAGCCTTTCTTTTTTCCCAACTGTTTCAGTAGCTTTTCGGATATAAGGTTTGGCTCCTTCCTTGGGTTTAACTTCTTAAATCTGCAGTTTGCTTTTCAAGAACAAAAAGCAGCTGATGCTTCCTAAAGAAGGGAAAACAGCTCTGGGCTTTCTCAGTGCAGCCACAGGAGCCGGCAAGGAAAGTGCAGCCCTGGTGTTCTGACTGCCCACACTGCTTGCCATTGGTTCACTCCCTGCCTGTGCTTTGGCTGCTCCATACAGATCTTTCCCAGACAAACCTGATGTAGTGTGGTCAAGCACTAATTGGTGTGGACACAAGCCAGGCTACTTCATTTCAGTGGTCAAGACACAGCCCTCCTTTCCTCCATGGGAGGATTTCTCAGCAAGCCAAGAGGTGCCAGAATTCAAACTTGGTTCTTTATCTTTCACAGTTTTTTGTAAAAATGGATCCCCTCCTGCCATGGTCTTCTCAAAGAGAGGAAAGAGATGTGCAGTAAGGGGGTGTGGTGTCTGTGTGTGTGCATGGCTGCACGTGCACATCTCCCCCTCTCTTTGTTTAGACCTCTAGGCATTGCTCCCATGTAACCTTTGTTCTGCTTATGAGCCCTTCTGTTCTTATTTTGGCAACACACACAAATATTTACTCATGTTCATAAACAATCACCAATTCTGTCTTTTCAGGTAAAATATCAAGAGAGCATGGCTCACCTGGGTGAACGTAAATGGACTCACGTGTTCCCTTTCCTGATGGTAGGTATTTCTGTGTGTACATGTCTCTCCAGTGTGCAAAGATAACAGGGTTCTGCCTGGGTTGTTCATAACCACCTGTGAATTGTGGCAGAGCCACACATGACCTGGGGACTGAACCTCAATGCAGTGATCTTTTCATTCCATAAAACATCTGAGAATGTGCAGTTTAAACCATGGCTGCTAGGAAGGAGGGGGAAGGAGAAGAACCCAGGATGGAGCAGAGACAGAAAGTGCTAGAAGAGCACATTAGCCTGGCTATCACATGAAGCACAGCCTGAGGCAGTGCATTATCTCTGGTTGTTACAGTTGTCCCTTGCAGTCACATTTATGAAGGCTCATTAGAGCTGGGAGTGATGAGGGTGTGAACTCTGGCATTTGCTTGTGTGGGAGAGCATGTGAGTTTACAGGTCAGGAACCATGGCCTTCAGTGTTTTAAGGAGTGGCCGTGTCAACAAGCATGAATGTCAGTCTCTGAGAAACTCTTGGAAGTATCAGGTTGCTGAAACCTGCGTCTGCTTCCATTTAAATAGTGTCACCACTTCTGCTTCTGAGCTTTAGGCATATTTCACTCTGCAGTGCTGGCCCTGCTGCCTGTTGAGCCATGGCAGAGGTGCAAGGGGAGGGGGTGAGGCACGGAGGACGATGGCAGTGGAAGTGACAGTGCTCTGGAATGCTCTCTGGTGACAGGTCTCCCTGGTGTACTCTGCCAGTGCCGAATACTCCAACTGCGGTGAGAACGAGTACTACAACCAGACCACTGGAATGTGCCATGACTGCCCCAAGTGCGAGCCGGGTGAAGAACCTTACATGGTAATACCAGCTTCTGCTGCTGCTGGGGGGAACGTAGCCAGCACCAAATGCAAAAAAAACCAAATGCTTTGTTGTGTGGAAGTAACGGGTAGGAAAGGAAATGGGAAGGCTATGGATGCCTAAGCAGGAGCACTCACACCTCCGAGTGTGCTGTGGGGGCGAGGCATCTGGCATGCACACCAGCAATCCATATCCCAGGAGCAGCCTGTTAAAAGGGATACTGTAAAAATGGAAAGGTAGAAGTTCCATACACAGTCTCTGCTAGTCTGTTCTCATCTCAGTAGTTATTTAGAATCTGAGGCTGACATTCCAATACAGAGTGATAAATTGGTCAGTCTGGTTTGCTTGCTGGTCTCTCACACTGACAAGTTAATTTTGCTCTCCCGCTAAGCTATTTCGGCACTAGAGGAACTTGGATGTTTCTGCAGTACTTTAAATTATGGTTCCTAAGTAACCATTTGATTTACAGCAGATAATTGTTGCTTATTAAAAAAAAATAAATTACTGAAATCCTGTTTGGTTTTAATGGGATAAACATCCTATTGCAAGAATTTCACACAGTTGGTAGTCCCAAACAAGTATGTTTAAATAACCAGTTTGGTTTAGTTTTATTTAATCTAAATGTAATGTTCAGCTGGGACATGTGAGTTCAGAGGTTACAAAATCTCATCCAAACATTGCCTTTTGGGCTGTTCCCTCTGGGGTCTCCTAGCCTGAAACTGCTGATAGCCCTGCTGCAGCTGTGTTTCTCCTGTAGGAGTCTTCTCTACTCTTCCATTTTTAGTTCACTTTCTATCCAAGCAGCAGCTGAAATTCACTTCCACAGTTTGCTGGACTATGATAGAAGTAGTATGGGGGGGGCAGGCACTAACAAACAGTATCATTCTCCAGTTCCCCTTCTCCCTTTCCAGCACACAGCATGCTGCATCCTTATATCCCTGCATGGTCTTTTTGGGATAGACACCAACAGGCCAAATGACAGACTCCTCTCCCTTTGTGCTGCAAGGCCAGTGGGGCAGGCTGTGGACATTCTCCTTTGCTAGAAGTTGGTGTGCAGCACAAGACTGCTTTTGAGTGGCTGTGTGTTGTTGCAGACATGTGGATATGGCACCAAAGATGAGGACTATGGCTGCATCCCCTGCCCTTCAGAGAAGTTTTCCAAAGGAGGGTACCAGATATGCCGACGGCACAAGGACTGCGAGGGATTTTTTCGAGCCACGGTCATGACGCCTGGTGACCAGGAGAATGACGCAGAGTGTGGTCCTTGTCTCCCAGGGTAAGGACTTATCCACGGACCTTTGCTCTACCCAAGGCACTGGGAAGTACTTTTCTAATGTCAAAATCTCTGACAGCCTCTCCATGTCAAAGCTGACTGTAGGTACAATGCTGGTAAATTATACTTTTTCATCTCTGCTAAAACAATACATTTAAATGTTTCAAAAGTATTGGTGAGTTTAGGGGCATAAAATATCTCCTCTCCAGATGTGAACAGCTGGCACATTTGTCAGTAGTTGACAGTATTAGCTAACAGAGCTGTTCAGTGAGATTTACCAAGGCATTTTAGTCTCTCGGGTCCTTTCTACACAACAGAGTAGAGTCTGAGGGGCTGTTTATGTAGTGTGTGTAGTGTTGCTCAGAATCAAAACAAGTTTCAGGGCTGGCTGAAGTGGCTTAAAATAGGTTCTGTTTATTAAGTCCATCTTTGTAATGGTCTCTTACACTCAGTATAATTCTCATAATAATGGTGAGAAAGAAATTGCTACATTGGATATGTATATCCTTGACAATATTACATCTGAAAGTTGCAAACCCAAGCATACATATGTACTCTTGATGTTTTTTTGTAGGGTGAGTAAATACACTAAAATAAAACATCACCTTACATACCTTCTCAGTTTCTGCCACTATTCCTCTTTGGTTTAGAAAGTAATTCCTACTGACATTTGGCTTTTGTGCAGTTTGCAGATGCTGTATAACCCACACTCCTTATAGCACAGCTCTGTTAAAGAGGCCCTGCAAGCTTCCAGGTTTATTTTATCAGTAAGTCTTTGTGAAATTTTCACAGTTTACAAATAAAACGAAGCACTTGTCTAGCTGCCAGCCAAACAGACTGATGATGTGACTTAAAAAAGCTCCCTCTTTACTTCCCCTCATACATCATAAAGAGCAAAAAACTTAAATAGTGGTCACAGTTGCTAGTTTGCAATTTTTGTCAGGACTAATGAGGTCACCCAGGTGGGAGCAGGGTGCTGGCTGAAAATAATCAGCTTGCACAGCTGGTGCTTGGGGAGAAATCTCAAAACATCGTGTTTGCACAGGTGTAGCCTGTAGCAGAAACTGGTCTGCCGGAATCTGGCTGTGTGCCGCTCCTCCTGCAACGCTCAGGTCCTGGGATTGTTTGGCAAAGCCAGCAGTTAAGGAGAAACACCCTCTCAGTCCAAGCTTGAATAGATGGAATTCTCTAGATAAACTAAATATGAGCTAAAACAAGCTCTGAAGCTGCCCTGACTCCTCATGCTACTTAGAGTCCTCAGAGTTTGCTCCTGTGTGATGGTGGGTGAAATGCAGAGCCTGTGTGTCCGAGCAGAGGGCTGGTGAGTAGCTGATTGTCCTTATTGTCCCCTGTGCCGCAGGGACAGCCAGGTACCAGGGGGAGTGGCAGCTGGCAGGGTGCTTCCTTGCCTGGACAGTAAACCTCAGAGAGCCCCTGAGTGGATGTGAGGGATAAAAACAAGGTTTCCGTTTTCAGAGGACTCCTTCCATAACACACTGCAGACCTGCCCAAGGTAACAGCCCACATGCTGCTGTTTGCACTTAAGGACACCTCATCCCTTTGCTATTTTTCACCAGCTCAGTAAAGAAGCCTGAGGAAAAGATGAGCATATAGCACATTCTGCACCAAAGTTTTCAGACAAAATGTCACTGAAGTGGCAGCCTTTTCCAGTGGTTACAAGAGCCATCCTCTGTACTTTATCTTAAAATAAATGCTGGATAATTATATATTTTTTCTTCTATTTTCTTTTTTTTTTCCACTATTACTGATTACCAATTTTAGGGAAGAAGGAAGCCTTTGGTACAAGAGAGGAGGTCATCCGCTGCTTTTTTGTGTTCCCTCTCATATAAAATAGAAATAACACTGTCATTCATGCTTACAGGAAAGTGTGCAAGACAGAGAAGATTTTAAAGGCTTAGTTCCAAAGCTGTGATCCTCAAAACCAAAGTCCTGTTGCCCATGAACTCTAGAGGTACCTAGACTGAACCTCCTGGGACACTGCAGGCTTTGTCCTCTGCTCCCAGTCCAGAAGCTCTTCCATCTTGCCAAATAGACAGGTTAAGAATGTGGAAATTAGGTGTGACTCAGACTATTTCCCTCAATGGGGTGATCCATTAGGTGTACCTGGAGTGAGAGCGAGATCACAGCTGACTACAAGCAGCAATGGCAGGTCAGAGCGAGGGTCCCTCTAGCCTGCTCGTCTGTCTTCATTCGGTAGTGGCCATAAGGAGAAAGAACAGGTCAAGTACAAATAATACATATTCCTTATGCTGGCCCAGCACCTATTTTCACCTTGGGGTAAGTCTCCAGTCCCCTACAAGATAGAGTTGCAATGGGATCATTTTCTTTTTAAATGCAGTCAGAAATGCCTCTGCCATAGACATTTCCCCATTTCATGTGTTTGTCCAAGGGTGCAGCAAATGCAGGATCGTTCTCTGAGAGGTTTTAAGAGAAGGAGTAAATGCTCCTCTGTTTTCTGAATGAAAAGGTTTAGCCAGTTAATTTCTAATGAAACTAAGTCCCACCCTTGCTGCTCTGGCTAAGGCAGCAGATGCCTCCACTGAGGATTCTCATCCTTGATGTCTCTCTGCAGACTGTCCCCTGCTGAGAAGAGCACCCACCCCTCTGCACCTCCTGCTCCAGTCAGTCCCAGGCTCCCTGTTAGGGTGGGAGGGCAGACCTAAACCTGGGTCCAAGTCCCTGAGTCTGGAATGACACCACCAAGGCTAGTCCAAGATAAACCAGTATGGTGTTAAGCAGGAAAACAAGTCCAGTTTTCAGTCTAGCCTCTATTCTTGGATTTTGCCTGTAGCCCCTCCAAACCTGAGTCTGGCAGGTGCCAAGGAGAGAAAGAATAAATATCATAGTGGAAGAGTAATACTGTGAAAATCCATTTTGTCATTATTGGGGCACTTCTCTGTAGTTGGTGATACAAAGCTATCGCATATCTCCAACATTACCTTTACTATCTGGTGCTTTGGAAAGTAACCAGAAACACAAATCTGTTGCTAGTACTTCATGGGGGTGAGTCACTAATGCTTGCAACTGCAGAGTTTCCTACTCATGTGAGTGAATGGTTGCCTCCCATGAACATACTCTTCAGTTTTCTTTACATGTCCTCCACCATTCTGCATTGTGGTGAAAACCAAGAATTCTTCCACCACCTTGATTTAATTAATTGTCAGAAGGATTGTTTGTCTTTCCTGAACCCACACAGCTATTGGACTGTGGATCCTAACTGTCCTGTATTTTTCTTCATAGATTTATATGTATATTTGGACTTCCACTCTTTTGTTTTTTGGTTTGGCAGCCTTTTTCTGTGTATTTATTAACTGCTCTGCAACCTAAAATGATGTATGCCCCATAAGAGAGGAAAGATGAAGTTTTGCTCCTGAGAGAATGGTAGAGTGGCCCATGGGGCACAAGAGACATTTGAAGGATGAAATGAGGATGAATCTTTTAAAACCAGTAAGAAAAAAATGAGGAACCATGTGTAGTTCCCCTGCTCTCTGAGTTTGCTCCAGTCCTTATCTCCCCTTTGCATCTCTGTGTATTCCATTTCCTGGACCTGTATCTCTTCTTTGTCATTCATCAGTACACCAGCTGATTTTGATGGACCGTTTCAGCAGTGATTTCCTAACAATGCATACATTTTCCAGAAAAAACCCATACTTCACATGCATAGGCAGGTATACAAGAGCAGAAAGCAGATCCCCAGTTGCATAAAATGTTTGTAGTGTTAAGTTCCTGTCTACACAGAATAAATTAAGAATTTATTCATCTCTTCATTAAAATATGTAGTGATTTACAAGTGATTTGTAAAGACATATCTGCAACATCAACAGTATGATGTTACATCAACATATGTATGATTCTGATGTAATTACTCATTAGGGTGCATGTGGATCCAGCTCTTAAGTAGCCAATTACCATATTTCAGCACTAACTTTATTAGCAGCCCAGAAGTTCAAATTATGAAAACCTTTCCTTCACACTGTAATTCCACTATCAAGGACTAATTTATATACAATAGAGCAAGGAAATTTTAAAGAATGAACCAAACCTGTAAAACCTAATCTACCTTGCCCTGTGAGGGTGTTTTTTTCCTATATTTTTTTTTATTATGATCTGGTTCAGATTTGGTTCTAAGATTACAGAGATTATTCTTATGGTGTTTGCGAGTAAAATTAGCTAACCATATCCAACTGGTGGTCTTGCTTGAAAGATTCCTGCTTCAAAAAACTGCCATCTCTTACTTTGAAAAATCTTATTTCAGGGCATGCTGTAAACTGCAGCTTGAACTCAGCAGGGAGACTAATGTTGTTTTAGGCAATGTTACCACTTCTTGTCATGTCTAGATGTTTAATTAATTACAATTTAGGAGGAAAGGAAGAAGAGAAACACAGTGTCTATTCAGGCAATTAAAAAAAAAAAAACAATCTTTGCCTCGGATTGCTTATAAAAGTTTTTTTTAAATGATTTTATCTCCATATAATTGGTTGCTGCTGAACCATGTTCAGTCATATCATATTAATTTGCACTGTTTTGCCTCTTCTTGCCCTTCACTGCAGTTACTACATGCTGGAAAACAGACCTCGGAACATCTACGGGATGGTTTGCTACTCATGCTTGCTGGCACCTCCCAACACCAAGGAATGTAAGTGTTCTGCTGTTTCTATGCACTTCATCTGGTTTTGACTTAAAATCATCTGGAAGCTCAATGTGAAATCTTTCAGTGATGATAATTATGTTCAAACAATAAACCCAGCTCCAGTTAAGCAATTTCTGCTTCCAACTAGCCTTGCCAACAAAGGGAGAGAATGCTTATCATCTGAAGAAAAATCAGAACCTTTTGTTTTAGAATCTACTATTGCTCATTTGTTCTCCAATTTGCATCTGTTAAGAGATCCCATGAAGGACTTATTAGGGTTACTTAAACAGTAGGTCCAGGAAATCCCATGTCTTTGTATTTTTTTTAAACTGAGTTTCAGTTCACCTGTGAAGAAAACATGGGACAATTTGTAGATTTGTAATTTGTAAGAGTAAAGGGCCATCACACCTTTTCATATCCTTTTGCTGCAAAGTGATTCCCGGGTTAACATTGATGTCTGGTGGCCAGCACTGATAAGAGAATTAGTTCTGTAGATTTCACTGACAAAAGGGTCTGTATTTGCTAATTGAGGAAATCATGTATGAATGTGTGTGTGACACCCTAGAGGCACCTGTTGGTTTGCATACCATGTATGTGCAATGGCTTATCCATCCTCATGCCATGGGGAGAGGGACAGCTCACACCAGCACTGTCCTGCAGAGGCAATCCCCCACAAAACTGCTATCTCCTTTAGGGGGAAAGAAAGAGAAAATGAAAGTGAAAAAGAAAAAAAGAAAAGCAAAAAAATGAGGCTCTTTGTGAATGACCAAATTACTTTGACACCCCCTCAGAGGATCTGGAAAAGATCAGGACAAAAAGCTTTTAAACTAAACAACAACAACAAAAACCCAACAAAAAAACCAGAAAAAATGAGTAGATCCCCAGCAAAACCTGATGCCTCTAAAACCAAAATCCTGTCCATGTTCTCTTGTTTTAGAAATCTTGGTCATGAAAAATATTTGCAATATTTTGTCTGCTTGGTTTGAAAGCAGGGGCTTAAGGTCCCGGAGCATTTATTTATGTACATAAATAGTGATTGCTTTGTTCAGATGCTGCAGAACTGTGTATCACTGGTGCTCTGAGAATCACTTTAAAGGACAGGACATGAACATCTACCACTTTCCTACAGTTTAAGAACTTGGAGGAGCCAGGGAATAATCACCACGTCACAGAACTCCTGGTGAGCAGCAGCAGTCAGGAGGCATCTCCCTGAGTTGCATGCCAAGATCTGCTCTGTTGTACAGCTGCTCACCCCACTTGGTTGCAGAAACCCACCCAGCCCTGAGACTGCCCTTCTGCCTGAGACAGTGGGAGTGGGTGAAGGGCAGGGGGAGTGTGGTTTTGGTGAGATAACATCTGTTTAGGAGATGAGGTAAGGGTGCTAGGGAGGACCCAAATGCAAGATGTGGGAAGAAGGTGCAGAGGTAAGTGAGAACACAAGGGTAGGAAGGTCATGGTTTAACCCCGGCTGACAGTCCAGCCTCAGACAGCCAGTCACTTACTCCTATCCACACAGAAAGACAACCAGAAGGGTAAAAGTGAGATAACTCAATGCTTGAGATAAAGACATAATAGGTAATCATAAATAGGTAAAGGAAAAGCTACACACATCCATCAATGCAGAACAAGGAATCCATTCTCCACTTCCCGTGGGCAGTTTGGTATCCAGGCATCCCTAGGAAAGCTGAGCTACGTCACATGTAGTGGTGACTTCACAACACAAACAACCATCACTCTGAATGTGCTCCACTTCCTCTTCTTCCCCAGCTTTATATGCTGACCATGGCACGATGTGGTGTGGGATACCCCTCTGGTCAGCTGGGGTCCGCTGTCCTGGCTGTGTCCCCTCCCAGCTCCTTGTGTACCCCCAGCCCCCTCACTGGTGGGGTGAGTTGAGAGCCACAAAAGGTGCTGTGTAAGCACTGCTCAGCAATATTGAAAATCTCTCTGATTTTCAACAGATTTCTCTCTGATTTATTAACAGCTTTTTGGGCACAAATCTAAATCTCAGCCCCATACTGGCTGCTACTAATAAAATTAACTCTACCCCAGCCACACCCAGCACAGAGAGTCGTGGTAGGATGTGAGGGGATAAGGTAAGAGGGTGTAGCTGCATCTGGCTGCCCCATTGGTGGGAATAGAACCATGCATACCGCTAACCGCTAGTTGGAAATTAATCCCTTCCTCAGCTCTGATGGTCTGTCTCAAACACATGCTGCAATGGGTTGTTAGTAGTATCAGACATGGTATTACTTACTGATTTGGGAAGAAAGTACTACATCTTATGGCTATTACTCACCTAAAAGGAAAGAAATCTTTATGTTTTGTAGGATATCTGGCAGATACAACAGGAAATGTGTTTCTGTAAGGAAAGTATGATCAGCACAACTGATCAACTATATGCAATTTTTAGCTTGATAAACACAAGAATAAATATGTATTATCTTTGTGAGGCATTTAAGCAGGTGCATAAACCAACAAATTGATTGGGTAATAAGATAAAAGAAAACATTAGTCCTAGAAACACTAAATATTTCCATTTTAATCAAGTCCATGAAGCCAACCATTTGATTGCAAGTGTTCAAAAAGCAAGAAAGTGTCTCAAAATGCAAGCCCCTCAAACCAATCAGCTCAGGTAATTTGGTTTATGATATCTGAATCTCCAAACCCGATTTGGAATGGCAGTGCCCCAATTCATAGGCATTAATTTGCACTCCAGCTGGAAAATCAGCCTTGCTGCAGGAGCCCCCTGAAATGCTCCCTGTTGCTGTGGAAGGTAGTGTAAAATCTGGTATTAGAAGATTATCTTTTTCACACATTTCACTGTCATCAGATTATAGCAGTCAGAGCAAAGAAGAGGTGATATGTCAGTGTTGCACAACAGTGCATTTTTTGAGGTTTGCAAATTCCAAACTCATCTAAGTGCTGTGCTCCGAGCACATAACCTTAACAAGAGGATGTGGTTTCTGTCACATGAAGGATAATACCAGCATTCTGGTAGGAATGGTTCCTTTGTGCAGAACAACCTCTGCTTATTAACTGGCTGTCAGGATGGAGAACCCAGTATGAAAACTCCAAGTGGCCCCAGGAATCTTCTGTTCCTTTGTGGAGACTTCAGAATAGCAATGAACAGCTTTCAGGAGCCTAAACCCCACACTACAGTGTTGCCTCTCCCCCCAGAGCTCCTTCAAACTCTCCTGCACACAGCACATCACTGGAGAAAGGGGACCCAGCATGTCACAAGGAAATGAGAATGGAAAATTGCTTCAATATAGGAAGCTCAGGGTGACAAGCTCTGAGTTTATAACTCTATACAGAAAAATGAAGGCAGATAAATCTTGTTTCAGGCCTTCATTAGGGCTGAGATGGGATGGGAGAACAGTGGTGCTCTCCTTAGCTGTAAACATTCCTTGCTGGGGAAGTGCCTGGACTGTGTGTTACAGATGGCCAAGTCCAGGGGTATGTGCCCCTGCATGGAAACTTGCTCAGGGAATTTGTCAGATGACACATTTTATCTGGCAAAAAAGTATTTGGGTTTGATCAAAGGGTAAGCAAATATCTTTCAGCCCATGTGCAGTCAATAAAACTTGAAATGGCCAAGGACACAAGATGAACACTCCATGTCCCAGCATCTGGAAATATTAGTGTAAAAAGGACTGGAAGTGAGAAAGAAATTCCTTGATGGGCCTGCGTCACCTTGTTGGGGTTTTTTCCCTCTCAAAGGACTTGAGACACAAATAACACAAAATATCATGGGAAAGAGGGGGAGAAAGGGAGATGATTCACAGAGGCCAGAGGTTTGATTGAGGCAAACATGTCACTAGTTTATGGTGTTGAAAATCTCACTGGTCTGAAGGATGGGAGCAACAGTTCTGCAGCCTGGGAGGAATAGCAGGCTTCAGTAAGAGCATGTGGGTAGCGGGCACACAGGGGAAGGGGCTGTGCACACATGAGCATAACAATGTGTGTTGTGTAGCAGCAAAGCTTTTTCTTACTGTGAAGAAGGGGAACATCACCACAAAGACTACAGTTTGCCCCATCTTGTGCACTGTGAGACAGCTGTGTAAGATTTCTGGCCTCTCAACATGCAGCCCCCTCGAGTCTCTTGTGCAGGAGCTTCTGTGCTGAGCAAAGTGAAACGCCAAATGTGTGAGAGCTTCAGCTGAGCTTGAGGCACATCATGAGTCATCAATGCCCCTTGCTGGCATAAGTGGGGATCTGATACCTCTGTGATAAAGAGCAGCACTGCAAAAGAGAGGGAGGCAGGTTTTCCATGTAAATCAAACCATTAAGGTAATGAACACCAAACCACACCAAGATGTGGCTTCCCACAGTTAATGGTGCTGGATTTTCCATCAACACCTCTGGAACTGGAGTTACTTCAGGCCTCTGACTATGTAGGGTGGTTTTTTTCTGTTTTCTTTTTCTTTTATCCAGTGTAAAAGTACATGCAAAAGACAGAAGATTTAGCCATATATGGAGTTTCTCTGGCAGAGAGGTACAATTACTGCTGGAAGAGATTTTGTCTTTTAGCAGCTGAAACTCTAAATTATGTATATTAACTCTCCTTCTCTTCAAACTTTGATATTTTTCACTCCAATTCAAAAATGTTGGAGAAAAATCAGACCCTGCTACACTAACTTTAGGAGCACTTACTTCGAAGTTGAATTTACACAATTGCATCAAATATGCAAATCCTTTTCCACTCACATATTATTGGTCTAGAGAACTTCAGCAACTGATTGAGGATTTTCTTTTTAATCTACTGTACATATTCATAAGTGTGTATGTGCATAAAATACTTAAAGCTATTTTATTTCACCTTTTTTTGCTGGATTTATATATGAAAAGAGATACAATAACGAACCTGTGTAAGTTTTTAGGTCTCACACCTCCCAGTGATAGCTTGGGAAGTTAAAAAAGAAGAAAAATATTGATAAAGGAAAATATATGTGGTCAGGCTATTTTTTTAAATACCAGAGAGGAAATGACATCTAGATATATAA